AATAAATAAATAAATAAATAAATAAATAAATAAATAAATAAATAAATGTCACAATTAAGGCTGTATACTAAATAGCAATTATTTTGATATTACTTTAAAATTCAGATGTATTTTTTAGAACATTTTGAATGAGCCAGCACTTCTATTTTGCGTAGAAAAATATACTTTTAGAGGGAAACAAGTCTGGAAAACATAGAAAACATAACATTTGATAAACAAACTACATTAGAAATGAAAAATGAAGGAACAAGAGAAGAGAGCAACTACCAGCAATTATATTAGCACTAGTAAAGTAAAATTTTTTTTACATTTCTTAAGTTTCTGTCTGTCCTTTTTTATTAACATAATCAAAGGTAAATGAGGCATGTTCACCTCATGAATATCAGTTTAATCAGACCAACACATCTAACATGTAAAAGCACCAAAGGTACGAATTTGATCTGAATGATAAGAAAAAATTGAGAATTCAAATTCCGAAGTACTTCCTTTTTGGACGGTGTGTTTCATCAGACCTGATCCCGTCTGAAGTGACAGGTGAGCATCATAAAAACCTCCCAGCTTCAGATGATCACTGAGGAATTATTCAGCATTTTAATTATGAACTGTGAATCTATTCCAAACCCACTGAAACATTATAGAAGTAAACAGACTTTGGCTTTTGCTTGCCTTTATTGAAAACAAATTAAGCTTTCACAACTTTGCATAAAACAGCTCAGCTTTTCTCATCAGGCCTCCATCCTCCATCATTGAATATGTATATACATATAGTTTTTTATGTATATAACTATCAATTTTATATGAGGAATTTTGTATATATATATATACAGTGGGGGAAATAAGTATTTGAGACCTTGTTGATTTTGCAGGTTTGCCCACTTACAAAGAATGCTTATTTTTCCTCATCAGATGGTTATCAATGTTTATAAATTCATATGATGTGATTTTCTGGAATTTTCTTTGGGATTCTGTCTCTCACTGTTAGAATGTACATATGATTAAAGTTATAGATCGTTGCATTCTTTGTAAGTGGGCAAACCTGCAAAATCAGCAAGGGCTCAAATACTTATTTCCCCCACTGTATATATATATATATATGTACAGACATGTATATATGTATATGCCACTGTTTTATTTATGGAGCCATTAACAAAACAATTTCCCTCTGGGATTATTAAAGTATTTCTGATTCTGATTCTGATTCCCAGGATGGAGGAAAATGCCAGAATCCTAAATCTCCTCCTTTTAAAGGCTTTGTTTCAAACGTGTAAGCAGCAATTTGTGACTAGTCCACACAAGTGTGGTGGGGCTCCTGTGTACTGTATACTGTATAATGGCTGTTATGCCACGCTGGAATTCGGCGGAAATGGATGCGTCACCGTGGAGTTTCAGCCCCGGGTCTCCTGGCAGCATCACGAAGTCTCCACAGTCGTCACGAATTACTCACAACTCCAGTCCAGGCCTGTTCTCCACACCCACAGCGGCTGCTTTATGTTAGGGTGGAATTTTACAGCACATTTACAGTGATGCTCAGCGGGAATAAACACCTGGGGGGTCTGGAGTAAAATGGGATGAGTTAGATCTGTCAGGATTTGGCTATAATTACTCACTTTAGCATAGCATGCTATCACATGATCTATGTAGATTACTGATTGTTTTATTTTCCTTTATAACTATATTTTGTGTTGAAGTCTCTGGCTGTTTAGGAGGTTTCCCTGTTTCAACACACCTTATTCACATCACAGAGCCATTAGCAAAGCTAAAAAATGTCCAGATGTTAGAATGTGGCCAGAACTACTCACGTTAGCAAAGTATGCTATCACATGATCTATGTAGATTACTGATTGTTTTATTTTCTTTTATAACTATATTTTGTGTTAAAGTCTCTGGTTGTGTCCACAGACTCTCTTTTCTCTCTTTTTATCTCTCTGTTGCATTAGATCCACCTTTAGGTCAACACACACACACACACACACCATTTGTTAGCACATTCCTGTCCTCTGCATGAATTAGGACCTGGCCTGTTCGTGCCCAGAGGTAACTGGCCAATAGGACTTGGTTGTGTCCAGTCCTCCTTTGAGGAGGCGGATGGAGCCCAGGAGATAATGCCCATCACCCAGATCTCAGGGCTCTTTACCACTGAGACCCAGAGAGAGGTTTTAGTCTGTCAGAGCCCACTGATACACTCAACTGTGACCAATAAATGACATTTTATACTTTTGATCCACTCTGGTTCATTCTCAGGTTTCCAACTAAAGAATCGGGTTAACAGATCCTGAAGTGTTTATTCTTCCCCACTTTGTCCGTTTAGACTGTGACCAGGGTGGATCTCAGGGAGGGTCGGTTCAAAAAGGTTTTATTGAACAAAAAACGCACTCAAAAGGAGTGGAAACAAAGTACCAAAACGAGATTAACAACACTATGAACAAAGTATCAAATAAAGTAAACAAGACTGTGAACAAAGTAAAAAATCAAAACTCTCTTAGGAGGTTAAACAATGGACGAGGCAAGGGAAGGTTAAAGGACAAGGTAATGCTCAGTAATGTAATGGATCCAAAGAGAAACGACGAACGACAAAGAGGAAAACTCACTGGCCCCAGACCAGGGGAAAGGAGGAATATCTAACCCATTTATTTATTCGTTTATTTGATAGGGACAAGTATGTTTCATGAAACATGTCACACACTACAACATTTTAGCTAAGGCTAATTCTCAATGCCTGTCCCCAGTTAGTTTTACACAAAACACAGTGACTGTACACAACAGAACAAATCACACACTAAATTACACACTTCCCACAAGGGAAGGGAACCCCAGGGGAACACAAAAGGTAATAAAGGAAGACAATCAGACATGTGACACACAGGGGAGACCTGAAACAAGGGGATGGACCTTTCAAAATAAAACAGGAAATGAAAAGACAACATGGAGACAGGACAAAAACACCAGAAACTCCCCAAGACGGGACAGTCTTCTACTGGCTGTTATCAGGTATATCTGAATGTGTACAACAGGGGTTTGAGCAAAGCTTTTACCACTGAATGATGCAGAAAGTCTCACATCCAAAAGAAACAGATATGACACATTTGGCATTATAGGGTTAAGTCATGTAACGTTATATTTCAGTTTGAGTCATTTTGTTTGCTGAGCATCAGCTCATAACAGAGTCTGTGAGCACACTGCAGGGAAATGAAAAATAAATCAAAGTAAGACAACCTGATTAGTCTGTATAAGTGAAATCACAATTAGATATTATTCCAATTCAAATTAAATGAAACGCAATCAACTAGATGTACTGATGTTAAATTATTATTGAAGTCATTCCATTTAAAAAACATACATTCAATTCAATAGATTATTTACTGATTCCACTTTGAACCAATCATCATCAGAGTCTACTCCAGCACTCATTAGCAGAAAGGTGGGTGGGTTACACTCACATTCACTCCTGAGGAGGACAATATGCTTTAGTCCACTGATCCCCAGTTTTTAAATTCACTTTCCCATTCTCGGTGGCCCATTCTGACCTATTCACACCAGATCAAACATCAGCCTTTTCTAAAATATTCTGTTTGTACTCAGACAACAAAAGCCAGTATTTGTGACTAATGTGCTTTTGTTTCTCTCCGAACTGTGACCCAGTTCAACGATGTTCCTACTGCTCTAATCCAAAAGATCTTACAGGAGTCTCAGCTATGAAGATGGTATTTTTAACCGAATAGCAAATGTTCTTGCCCTTCTTTATTGATTTACATTTTGTTGGAACTTCAACTTCATAACATTTCCATATCTGCAAACAGTACATAGTAATATATAATATAAAATAAACAAGGCTTTTTAAAATAATTGGTCAAAATGTTAAGGCCTCTTGTTGGATGAAATCACCTTATTGCAGAATAATAGGCCTAGATCTACAAGCTGAAACATTCTAAGAGACATTTAAGTTCAATACTGCTTCATTTAAATGTGAAAATCACAAGTATATTTTCGCTTTTCCAGTTAAATTAGCAGCGTTAAAACACTTCCTCTGTTTGCTGTTATCTCATGTTACATGCTGGTAATCATTGTTCCAATCTCAACATTCCTGAGGCGGAGGAAACTAGTGACCTATGCACAAAATCGTTAAGATTAATTTAAAAACTGAATAAACAAGACAAAACACTGAAAGATACTGAGAGTCTGGTGAGTCCATGACCTCAGTGGTCACAAATAAACTATAAAACTGCAAAATGTGGGTTTTCTGTGCTTTGATATGAAGCTCTAACATCTTTGTTTACTGCCCTTTTCACCAGATGGATGGAAGATTACAGAAAGCTGCCTGAAAACGAAAGTTAGAGTTGTTTGTTACATAAGGAGCGTGTTGTTGTGTGATGGTTGGATGGCGGCCTGCTTTAATTAACCCTCACAGTTAAAGCGAGGAAAGCTGTTCACCCGGAGGCCACGTCAATGCTCTCAATAACGAATATCATAATTTACT